ATCATATACACAACAAATAATTTTTAGTGTGAGCAATTGGAACATACCCATACTGTGAAAAAGTATTCACTGTGTATCTGATACTCAAACTTAACCACATATATCCTGCATTTTATCTGGCAACCTTATTACCACCCTACTGTGAGGTACCTTGATCCTTGACATTTTTCTCACTTTCATAGAAACTGCCTTTCCTCAGTAATACATCATTTCCAAATTTCATCCATTAAAAAAAAAATGCCTAACCTTTCTAATACCCCCCCTTCTCTAAACAAAACCAATTTATATATGACTTTTCACATCCGTTCCTCTCTCAGCTACTCAATCACTTCTACATCACAAGTGATTTTCTTTTTTATATATGATTTTTTAAAAATATATTTTATTGATTTTTTACAGAGAGGAAGGGAGAGGGATAGAGAGTTAGAAACATTGATGAGAGAGAAACATCGATGAGAGACAAACATCGATCAGCTGCCTCCTGCACACTCCCTACTGGGGATGTGTCCGCAACCAAGGTACATGCCCTTGACTGGCATTAAACCTGGGACCCTTGAGTCCACAGGCTGACGCTCTATCCACTGAGCCAAACTGGTTAGGGCCACAGGTGATTTTCAATTATTTGGATCCTCCAATTTTACCCAGTCTCCTGATGCCTCCTGACATGTCTTTCTGACAATCAGGCCTTGACTTCAGTGTTTCCATAATTAGTGCCCTAGATATTTTTCTCCTTTAGACATTCTGCCATGCCAATCCTGTATCCAACCACAGTTTTGCACATGTCAATTTCAAGTGTCATAGCGTAGCTAAAGAGTTGGCAAAACTAAAAATTATGATATTTAGCATCCATTGGGCCCTTGCTGCTACACAGGCTTCCTATCATTCATATCTTCATCTCTTTTATTATTATTATTATTATTCCTCTGAAAGCAGTTAAAAGCACTGCCTCTGGACCATCAGAGGCCCAAACCTGATTTCAGAGCCACCAGCATTAGTTATTGTGACCTAGGATAATCTATTAATAAAGTAAGAACTCCTTGGCCCTCCCTTGGACATACTGAAGAAAAATCTTTAAATGGGAGAATAGAACATGGAGAATAAATCTGAATTTTCAACTAACTTCACAGATAATTTTTATGAATACAGAAATTTGTGGTGATCCAAGATGATAGAAGCTACATTCAACTCTTCCCAGGACCAAACTGGAATTACAACTAAAGTATAGAAACATCATCCTAAATAACTAACTGAAAACTAGGTGGGAAGAAGCCTTATAACCAAGGACTTATAGAGGAGGCCACAAGACTGGTAGGAGGCGCGGAGGCAAAAGAGGGCTGGCCAGGCACTCACGGGCAGCAGCTGAAGTTTTGGAAGGATCTCTCAGCTGTGGGGAGTGGTCCCCCTGAGAAGTGTGGGGTCTAAACCCCAAGCCGAGCTCCTTAGCCCAAACCACCAGAACCAGGAAAGGTGCACAAAATATATTGCTGTAAAAAGCAGAGGGTTTCTGTCTGCCAAGAAGAGATGGCTAGAAACACAGGCATCCTCTTAAAGGGCCAATGCACAAAATTTCCTTCACCCTGGGCTCTGGCAGAAGAAAGGCAGAGCATACTAGAGTTATGTGGGGTTGATGGCTCTGGGGACATAGCTGAGAGGATTCCTGTGCTGAATCATTCCTCCAAACTGCAGAAGCCATCTTTCTCAGGCAGAGCATCACCTCCTACAGCATCAGCCTGGGGGAAAGCAATAGCCCCACCACCCACTGGCATCCCTCTCATCCCACCATGTAGAGCTTATGCCCTACTGAGGAGTACAGCCCAAGGCTCTTCAGTAACTGCATGTAACAGAGAGCCTGTAGGCGAAGGCTGATCTCTGGGTACTTTGACCTGCCCCTGGGCCTGGTGCTAGTAAAAACAGACCTTGGTGCACAGCTTCTCTCCACATGCATGCAGGCCCAGCAGAGGGAGCTACAAACTACAAATCGCTGATAGCTCCACACAGTTGCCCAGGACCTGTCACAGAGTCTGACATCTGTCTGTACCACAGTCCCTCCAAAGAGGCCCAGAACCAATACACCCAGTGGCCAGTTCCACACAACAAAAGAGCAGGATCCAGTAAGCTTCATAAGCAGCATATCCACAGGGAGATCTCAGCAGGCACCAAACTGTGCTGAGGCGAATTCTACTTTGTGTGATCAGCATTTGCACAGCAGCCCGCACACTATGTTGGGGGCTGAGCCCGTCGGCCAAACTAAGGGTCAATCCCACACATGAACAGACCACAGGTCACCTACTACATAGGGCCACTGTAACAGACAGGAAGTCATGGCATTTCTACCTGATACATAGAAACACACACGAAGAGGCAGCCAAAATCGGGAAACAAAGAAACAGGCACCAAATGAAAGAATAATGAAATTCTCCAGAGAGCTAAATGAAATAGAGGTAAGCAATTTATCAGATATAGAGTTCAGAGTAATGATTACAAGGATGCTCAACAGCATGAAAAATGACATAAGAAAACATAAAAAAAGGACCAGTCAGAAATTAAGAATGTCATATCTGAAATACATAATACACTGGAGGTACTAAACAGTAGGCTCGATAAAGCAGAGGAGTGAATCAGCTATTTGGAAGGGAATGTAATAAAAAATACCCAATCAGAACAGCAAAAAGAAAAAAATTACATAATGCTGGCCATTAACACAATTATTCTATACTTTCTGACAGTATTCAGCAGTAGATAAAAGAGGTTGGGTTATGGCAGGACATTGGCTGAGAATATGGAATTGGGATCCTGCCCCTCCTCTCTTACCCAACACTCCACAAAATAATAATAATAACAATAATAATAATAATAATAATAATGTACTCTGGTTCCTGCAGACTTCTGATCCTTTCACCTCTTTTCTCAAAACATTTTCTTCATTTATAAAAGCAGGTACTACATATAAGTTTGAACTTCAGGCACAACCTTTTTGTCGCCTAATTAATTTGTACTATCAGAGTTTTTTTAAATAAGAGAAAGTTTATTTAGAAAGTTAGAGGCAAAGAAGAGCCCTCAGAGCTTAGGAGAGAGAAAGGTAAAGGTGACTAGCCTGGGGAGAACAAAGTGGGGAGAGGAAAGGTGCAGGTTCCAGGAGGAAGAGCTTGCTGTGCTCTCAGGTTCAATCTCACTAATTCTGCGGAAAACTCCCTTTGCCCCTCCTGAGGGCACATGCACACATGCTCTCTCTTCCACCCTTAAGGGCTCACCAGCAAAGATGCTTTTGTCACCTGTTGGAATTAGAGATTTAAAAGGATCCCTGTGATTTTAAAAAGGACACACAGGTAGAAAAGAGAGAACTCATGCACATCTGGCTGGGGACAGGCTATGGGTATAAATATGGGGATGCTACATACCTGAGCTGGAAGCTTAGCCTGCAGCTGCATATCTTTTTTTATTTTTTAATCCTCACCTGCGGATATGTCTTTCATTGATTTTGAGAGAGAAATATTAATCTGTTGCCTCCCATACACACCACAACCGGAGATCAAACCCACAACCTGGGTATGTGCCCTGACTGGGAATCAAACCTACAACTCTTTGGTGTAAAGACATTGCTCCAACCAACTGAGACACCCAGCCAGGGCTTTTTTAAAAAATTGTATCTCTGTATCTCTTATCACTGACTTGAATCTCTAATAAGTCTATGGACACTGTGGAAAGCTGAAGTATTTCTACCCTCGGTGGCCATTCATAAAGGTTTGGGAGGAATTCTTAATCATTTCCTGTTGGGAATTATAACACTAATATAGAAGGGGAAAATTCATATTTAAAACATTCTCACAACAAAATAAGATATTTCCTTTTGGTGTTTCCAACTTTCTATTGGCTCTAACTTTTATTATAAACTGAACTGAGATTTGCTTAGAATTTCCTAAAAGAGAGAGAGAGAGAGAGAGAGAGAGAGAGAGAGAGAGAGAGAGGCTGTTACCCACACAAATCAGGTTCAAGGTCAACAAGGAATTGGCAGAGAAAGGGTGTTATTAAGAGTAAAACTGAAATAACCTATTTTGGAAACTGAATGTAAAAGAGGAAGAGATGCAGCCAAGAGACTTAAATAAATGTACTAGGAATAGGATGACACTGAGTCCAGAGACAGAAGAGTACATTTATCAGACTCAAGCAGCAGAAGGAAGACATGATATTACAATGAAAAAAGAAGAGTTTCAGAATTCAAGACATATTTCATCTACTTGAGTCACAACTGGAAATAATTATATATATAATGAATATATACAAGGAATATCTATGATTAGAATTGTCAACCTATAGCATAGTACCTGACCCAAAGTAAAATCTAAATATGAGGTAACTGCTATAAATAGGTGGAGAAAATCCAAATTACTTATTACATTTTCCTAGAATATAATTAACTAATAAATTCACAGCTACTAAGAAAAAAAATAAAATTTATTCCTATAAATAACATATAGCCCTTCTGATAGTTTTAGATAATCCACTCAACTGTTCTCTTCCTTAAGAATTAATTGAAGTTGATTGGGCAGATATTATATACACAAATATATAGCTGTATGTACTCAGGGTAAAACAAAATTTTATTTTGTTCTGAAGCACTATAGCTTATATAATTTTTTCTACATCTGAGTAATTTCTGCACTGCCCTTATAACTCATACTGGCCATAATGAGATTAACCATAAATCTGAAGAAGGCAGATTACTTATAAAATAGATTTCCCCATCTTACTTCAGCCTCAACAGAGCAACAGAACAATATAAAATAAGACATTGGGTTTTTAGTACTCATAAATAATGTAGAAGATTAAATCACATAACAGTGAAATTTGATTTTGTCACCACATAACTCATTATACATTCAGTTTATCAACTGGATTCTTTTGCAAAACATCTGAAACCTAAATGCAAATTTTAACAGCTCTCCAATAAGCAGCTGCATTAACCACAGTGTGCCGATGATAAAATGATACTCAATCCAAGTTTCTTACCTGCCTCAACAGTTTTTCAATGGCTGACATTACCATAAGGCCTCTCCAAACAACTGGTGCAGTCTCTTCAACCAGGAAGCCCATAGACATACTACAACAGTAAATCAAAAAGACAACTAATTTACATAAGTTAATCAACAGTATTCTGAAAAGTATAAAATAAAAAAGATATGCTCACCAAGCAATACCATAATTCAAAAGAGGCTTCATTAGGTTGTCTGAAATTAAAAAAAAAAAATTTCTTTGAGAAGAGTCATATATAAACATAATGATTTGTTCTCATCAAAGAGTGCCAAATTAAAATACAAATAGACTACTCGTACTCCTGCTCTTTTAACCTAATTCATCTCAATTTACAACAGTTTAAACATTTGTCAAGCATAAAACTAATACTTCGAATAGATGTAACTTCTAAAAATGGTTGAGATATTGTTTTATTGAGAACAATTCATCTAGCATTTTCAAATATGCTTTTAAAAATACCTCAATAATGTTGTTCACCAATTTTGTTCACATATACAGATACATAGGTTACATACATATGCTTTAAAAAATAGCCTCAATAAATAATGTTGTCCACCAATTTGGTTCACATATATAGATTACATATATATGCTTATCTAGGATGCTTACACACATGTGCACATACAAACTCATCTAATCAGTTCTCCCTATTTCTTATTTTTTCTTTACTTGGAGAATTTGAAAAGTATACAAATACCAAAAAGTAGGAAAACTTTATTTTGTACCTTAATATAATAAAAACCATAAATAAAAAATCCACAGTAAGCATCACACTTTAAGAACAAGGAAAAGAAAAGGATATCCCCTTTGGTCACTTCTTGTCAACATAATATTGAAAGTTATAGCCAGACAAATTGGAAAGAAACATAAATAAGTGGGATCCAAGTTGAAAAGGAAAAAGTCAAGTTCTCTCTGTTCATAGATGATATAATCCATGTATGTAAGCTATGGTGCACACTGACCACTAGGGGGAAGACACTCAACACAGGAGCTACTACCCCCTGGTGGTCAGTGCACTCCTTCAGTCAAGATCCCATGGCCAGCCAACCTCCCAGTCCCTCTCTACCCCCACCCCCACTGGTCAACCTCCCATGGCCCATCCCTTCAGCCAACCTCCTGCAGCTCCGATTGGCCCCGATCACTGGCCAGGCCAAGAGACCCCACCGTACACGAATTTGTGCACCAGGCCTCTAGTCCTATATAATAAAAGCCTAATATGCAAATTGTCCCCTTGGGCAGTCGTTCGACATCTTGCTATGACGTGTGCTGACCACCAAGGGCCGGCGCAGAATATGGTGGTCGTCGGCAACACACTGCAACCTCTCGCCGACTACCTGGGGGTGGGGGTCACTGGGATGGAGGTGTGGTGAGAATGCAGGGTGTCCACCAAGCTTGCTCTCACTCCCCGTTACCCTCCCTCAAGACTCCAGGGCTCACGTGCTGGGGAAGCACCCGCACTCAGGTGCCACGCACCCGCAAGGAGCCCACCCTGAATCCACACGGCATCTTCGGGGTGAACCAAGCCAGAGCCACTGGAACCGCAGGGGCTAGACAAGCTCCCCATGGGTTCGTGCAGGAGCTGGTCTGCAAGTGCAGTTGGAAGAGTGTGCTGCCCACCCGGCTTCTGTGCGGCACCACTGGGTGGACCAGTAGCCCACGCTGTGCCCCGGCCCGTGGCATCCAGCCATGCTCACCGCATCTCCACATGGGGACTCAGGCACCATGACTCAGGCAGAGGGGGGCACGCAGGGTCCTGAGGGCCCAGGAGCTGCCCAGGGCCCTGAGGTCAACTGGAACCTGCCCTTCCACACATAATGCTCGTGTTTTGACTGCCAGCCAGGCCTAGGGACCACACCCGTGAATGAATTTCGTGCACCGGGCCTCTAGTCTTACACATAGAAAACCCTTAATGTTCTACACACACACAAAAAAAACAATTAAAGCTGATAAATGAATTCAGCAAAGTAGCAGGATACATGTACAATGAAAACTACAAAACATTATTGAAACAAAGAACATAATAAAAGGAAACATGTATCATGTTCACTAACTGGAATACTTAATATTGTTAAGATGTCAATACTACCCAAAGCATACATATTCAATGCAACCTCTCTCAAAATCCCAATAACATTTTTTATAGAAATAGAAAAATCCGTCCTGAAATTCATATGGAAAATCAAGGGATTCCAAATAGGCAAGTCAATTTTGCAAAAAGAACAAAGCTAGAGGACTCACTCTTCCTGAGTTAAAAAGTCTTACACATAGAAAACCTTTAATGTTCTACACACACAAAAAAAAAACAATTAAAGCTGATAAATGAATTCAGCAAAGTAGCAGGATACAAAGCCAACACACAAAAATCAGTTACATTTCTATGCACTAATAATGAACAATCTGAAATGGAAATTATGAAAACAATTCTATTTATAAGAGCACCAAAAAATCAAATGCTAAAGAATTAACATAACCAAAGAAGTGAAAACTCTTTAAAATGTACAATGAGCCGAAACCAGTTTGGCTCAGTGGATAGAGTTACATATTCAATGCAACCTCTCTCAAAATCCCAATAACATTTTTTATAGAAATAGAAAAATCCGTCCTGAAATTCATATGGAAAATCAAGGGATTCCAAATAGGCAAGTCAATTTTGCAAAAAGAACAAAGCTAGAGGACTCACTCTTCCTGAGTTAAAACTTAAAATAAAACTACAGTAATCAAAACAGTGTGGTACTGGCATCAAGGCAGACAAATAGACCAATGGGATAGAATAGAGAGCTCAGATATAACCCTTAGCATACTGAGTGAGGCAAAAGTAGTTGTGAGTATGCACAACCCAGAGTTTATTCTTGTATTAATATTTATTCATTATTGTATTATTTCCTTACAAATAACTGTAAACCTACTTTTGCCCTAACCCAGTGGTCGACAAACTCATTAGTCAACAGAGCCAAATATCAACAATACAACGATTAACATTTCTTTTGAGAGCCAAATTTTTTAAACTTAAACTATATAGGTGGGTACACTGTTATTAACATAATTAGGGTATTCCTAAGGCTTAGGAAGAGCCACACTCAAAGGGCCAAAGAGCCACATGTGGCTCGAGAGGCGTAGTTTGCTAACCACGGCCTAGGGCAGGGGGCCTCAAAATTTTTAAACAAGAGGTTTCTAGCTGGGCCGGCGTGGCTCAGTGGTTGAGTGTCAACCTATGAACCAGGAGGTGCTGGTTTGATTCCCGGTCAAGGGCATATACCTGGGTAGCAGGTTTAATCCTGGGCCCCAGTCAGGTTGCCTGGCGGGGGCAACCAATCAATGTGTCTCTCTCACATCACTATTTCTCTCTGACTCTACCTCTCTCTTCCATTCACTCTAAAAATAAATGGAAAAAATATTCTCGGGTGAGGATTAACAACAACGAAAAACATAGGAAAGGACAGCCAGTAAAAATTTTGTAATATCACTTTCTCACCATCCATTTTCCTACTCCTTCCTTTCTTTCTGAAGCCAAGACCCTTTCTTATGGAAAATTAGGTGCAAGAAAAGAGTTGCATCCACTATTGTTCTTTCCGAAGAATGTCAAGTTATGGTATGATAATGTGGTTCCACCTATTTTTTTTAAATATATTTTTTATTGATTAAGATATTACATATGTGTCCTTGTACCCACGTTACCCTCTACCCCTCCCCCGCTCATGCCCTCACCCCCGCTCCGTTGTCCGTGTCCATTGGTTAGGCCTATATGCCTGCATGTAAGTCCTTTGGTTGATCTTTCCCCCTTACCCCCCCCCTCCCCTACCTTCCCTCCGGGGATCGATAGTCTGATCACTATTTCTCTGTCTTTGGATCCGTTCCTGTTCGTCAGTCTATGTTGTTTTCTATATTTCACAAAAGAGTGAGATCATGTGGTATTTATCTTTCTCTGACTGGCTTATTTCACTTAGCATAATGCTCTCCAGTTCCATCCATGCTGTTGCAAAAGGCAAGAGTTCCTTTTTTTTAACTGCAGCATAGTATTCCATTGTGTATATGTACCACAGTTTTCTAATCCACTCATATC